GTTCCAGTTTCTCGGCGCTGTTCGGCGCTGTTTTTTGTTTGTGCCTCGCGGGTTTTGTTAGCCAGGCCCCTCAGGGGTGTGGGATCTTCCAGACCCCCTGGGGGTTCTGGAGGTCTCCTGCAGGCCTGGAGAGCCGTCGGAAGGGTGTCGCGGGCTACGCGGGAGCGTGTTGGGCCGTTCTTTATGTTCTGGGGGCTCCTTGGGGTCGTCATGGGCTGTCCTTCGGCGACTGGGGGTCTCCCCCCGGGAAGCCGGGAGGCGCGGTACCGGCCAGATGTCAGGGGATGTGTAGGATGTAGGACCCCCGGGTAGGGGTCCCACTTTGAAAAAAAGGGGGGATTCTGGGAATTTCCTTTCTTTCAAAATCCTCAATCTTCGAGGGTTGGAAGCGGAAAAACGTGAGAAGGCGAAAAACATCAGAAAAAACATGGAACATCAACGATTTTACACTCTTCGAGCTCTCTCGGGACGGCTCTCGAAGCTCTCTTGGGCTGTTTTGGAAGCCTTGACGGGCTTTTTGGGGGCCTCTCAGGGGTCTGGGGTGTGTTGGGGGCCTCTGAAGGTCCTGGAGGCCTCTCGGAGGTCTCTGGAGGCCTCCTGCTCCCGCTCTTGGCCCCATCTTGGGCCTGTTCTGGGGTGGTCTGGGGCTGTCCTGGGCGCCTCTTCGGCCCTTCCTGAGGGTCTCTTGGGTGGTCTTGGGGCGGTCTTGGGAGCCTCGTCGGCGCTCTTGGACCGTTGGAAGCTCGAAAACGCGAGAAGCCAAAAACATTTAAAACATACCCATAGAAATCTACGATTTGGGCTTCTTCGGGCCGTCCCAGGGCGCCTCTCGGACCTCTCTTGGGGTCTCTTGGAGGCTACCTGGGGGCCCTGAGAGCCGTCGGAAGGCTGCATTGGGCTGCTTGGGAGCGGTTTGGACCATCCTTTCGCATTCTGACTCTGGGGGCTCCTGGGAGGCGTCTCGGGCCCTCCTGGAGCGCTGTGGAGGCCCCCTTGAACGCCGGGGGGAGCGGTACCGGGATTCCCGAGATGTCACGGAAGGGTGTGGCACCCGGGGCCAGGGGGGGCTGTATTTGGGTGCCTCTTGGAGCGTCTTCGGGGCCCCTTTTGGCGTTTTTTCGGGTCTCATGGGGGTCTCTTGGGGAGTGGGCGCTTCTTGGAGCCTCTTGGGGTTTCCTGGGGGTCTCTTGGGCCCAAAGGCGCGAATTTCCCGTTCCTCGTCCCAGTCTTGGGCGCCGCCTTGGGGCGTTCTTGGGCGGTTGTGGCGCCTCGTGGGCCGTCTTGGCCCCCTCGTGGGCCGTCTTGGGGCCCTCTTGAGGGCATCCTCGACCGGCTTGGGTGCCTCTTGGGCCGTCTTGGACGCAGTGGAAGCCCAAAAGGCGAACACGCCAAAAACATCAGTTTTCCCATCGGAAATCGATGATGTTTGCTTATTGGGGCTCTCTCGGAGTAGGAGCCCAAACTTCAAAAGAAAGGGGATCTCTGCAATTTCCATTTTTGTTGTTGGTTCCTCGGCGCTGTTCGGCGCTGCTTTTAGGGCCTCGCGGGTTTCTAACCGGGCCCCTCAGGGATCTGGTGCCTTCTGGACCTCCTGGGGGTCCTGGAGGCCTCTCAGAAACTTCATGGGGCGTCCTGCTCCCGCTCTTGGGCCCATCTCGGGCCTTTCCTGGAAGTGCTGCAGCGTTGGACCCTCGAAAACGCGAGAAAACCAAAAACCTCGAACAAATAATGAAAATCAGCGGTCTGGGTGTTTTCGGGGCGGCGGCCTTTTCCCGACTTCGAGTGAATGAAGATGGCTAGGATGTCGGATGGACAAGGAAATGTCGAGAAAGAGGATCGGGAGTAGCAGTCCCAACTTGAGAAGAACAAAATAACATAATCTCTCGAATTCCATGTTTGCAAAGGTTCTCGGTCTTTGAGCGTTGGAAGCGGAAAAACGTGAGAAGGCGAAAAACATTAGAAAAAGCATGGAACATCAACGATTTTACACTCTTCGAGCTCTCTCGGGGCGGCTCTCGAAGCTCTCTTGGGCTGTTTTGGAAGCCTTGACGGGCTTTTTGGGGGCCTCTCAAGGGTCTGGGGTGTGTTGGGGGCCTCTGAAGGTCCTGGAGGCCTCTCGGAAGTCTCTGGAGGCCTCCTGCTCCCGCTCTTGGCCCCATCTTGGGCCTGTTCTGGGGTGGTCTGGGGCTGTCCTGGGCGCCTCTTCGGCAGTCTTGGAGCCTTCTTGGCCCGTATTGGGGCCGTCTTGGGCGTCTCTTAGACGGTTTTGGGGCGGTATTGGGGGCCTCTTCGGCCATCTTGGAGCGTTGGAAGCATGAAATGGTGAGAAGGCCAAAACTTTTACCGAAAATACGACAATTAATGATTTTAGATTCTCCGGGCGCTCTCGGGGGGCCTCCTGGAGCTCTCTTGAGGTCTGTTGGAGGCTCTGTGGGAGCCTTGAGCACCGTCCGAAGGCTATCTTGGGTTGCTTGGGAGCGTCCTGGGCCGTTCTTTTACGTTCTGGGGGCTTCTTGGGGTCGTCTTGGGCTGTCCTTGGTCGTTTTGGGGGCTCCCCCAGAGGCTGGGAAGCGCGCTACCGGGAGCGTTCCGCAGATGTCCCGGGGAGGTCTGGAACCCCCGGGTGCGGGAGGCCTCGAGTTTCCCGATGGAGGCTCCAAGAGAGGCCCAAGATGGCCCCAAGAGGGCCCCGAAAATTATGTACCATGAGGAGTTCCCGCACCGGAGCTCCCGCACGGGAAAACATCAGTTTTCCAATCGGAAATCGACAATTTTGCTTATTGGGTCTATTGGAGTGCCCCTTGGGGCGTGTTCGGGGTCTCTTGTTGTGTTTTTGTTGGTCTCTTGGGGACCTATTGGGGCTTCCTGGGCGCTTCTTGGAGCCTCTGGGGGCCTCCTGGGGGCCTCTTGGGCCAAACGGCTCGCATTTTCGGTTCCTCGTCTCCGTCTTGGGCGCCGACTTGGGGCGTTGTTGAACGGTTTCGGCGTCTCGTGGGCCGTCTTGGCCCCCTCGTGGGCCGTCTTGGAGCCCTCTTGGGGGCATCCTCGACCGTCTTGGGTGCCTCTTGGGCCGTCTTGGACGCAGTGGAAGCCCAAAAGGCGAACACGCCGAAAACATCAGCTTCCCCATGTGAAATCGACGATGTTTGCTTATTTGGGGCTCCATTGGGGTGCCTCTTGGGAGCCTCCTGAGGGTCTCTTGGGGGCCTCTTGGGGCCTCTGGGGGGCCTCTTGGGGCCTCCTGGGGACCTCTTGGGGCCTCCTGGGAGCCTCTGGGGCCGAAAGCTCGGAATTTGAATATGGTTGTGCACTTCTGGGGCCCCTCTGGGGCTCGTCCTGGGGCTCTTTTGGGCTGTCTTGGGGGCCTCTCGGGCCGTCTTGGGGCCCTCTTGGGGTCGTCTTGGAGCCCTCTTGGGAGCCTGTGGGGCAGTCTTGGGGGCCTCTTGGGCCGTCTTGGACGCAGTGGACGCCCAAAAGGCAAACACGCCAAAAATATAAGTTTCCCAATGGGAAATCTACGATGTTTGCCTATTGGGCCTCTCTCGGGGTGCCTCTTGGGGCGTCTTTGGGGCCTTCGGGGGCCTTCTTGGCGTCATGGGAGTCGTCTTGAAAGGCGTCTGGAGCCATCGCTGCGGCCTCCTGGGGCCTCCCTGCAGCCTCTTGGGGCCCTGTCGGCCCGGGGTCGCCGAACCCCCTCCGTAAAAAAAATAGGGAAAACGATGCCCTGGCCCCACATTTGCGGTCGTGGTTGTGGCCCCCGGCCTCCGGACCCGGTCCCCCGTTGTATGTATAAGATTTCTCGGTGCGCGCGTCGCCCCTGGGAGGGCGACGCGCATACAGTATAAGTATGTTCGGGTGACGCCGATGCATCACCGATCTCCCAAGAGCGCGCTTTTTCCTCCGAGGCGGTAGATCCTTCTGTGCACGCTATCCCCCAGCCAGGGCTTCTTCGGTGCACGCCGTCCCCAAGGTCGGGAGAGTAGTGTTCATGATTCTGCGGCTGGCGTCGCAAACATGGCGTGCATCACCGATCTCCGAAGAGCACGCTCTCGCCATCGCTCGGACGTCCATTCCCTGCGTTTTTTTCGGTTTCGTGCGTGGCTTCTTCGCCACATGGTCAAGGATGCTCCTCGATGGCCCTCGCCGAAGGAAAAATGCACACGTCCGAGCGATGCCAAGCGCTCTCCCTCCGAAGCGATGGATCCTTCTGTGCACGCTGCCCCCGGCTGGGGTAGGGGGCCACATGTGAACCCGACCCCTACCCCCCACGATTTTTGAAGGGAGGGTGGGGCTCACTTCGCTCGGGAGCTCCCGAACGAAGTGAACCCCGCCCTCCCCCTCGGAAATCGTGGGGGGTAGGGGTCGGGTCGATTTTTGAAGGGAGGGTGGGGCTCACTTCGCTCGGGAGCTCCCGAACGAAGTGAACCCCGCCCTCCCCCTCGGAAATCGTGGGGGGTAGGGGTCGGGTTCCCTGATGGTCTGGTACCGGAAATTTTCGGTAGCGATTTCGACGCACCCCGAATTTCGGTAGCGACCGGATCTTCGTTTGAGGGCGTTGAAATAGCGGATTTCAGAACGGTTTGATACCGGTACTGGGCGCTACATTTCGGTATTTCGGTAGCGGCCGATCTCTGCGGAGCGCTACCGGAAATTTTCGGTAGCGGACCATCAGGGTTCGCGTGTGGCCCCCTACGGGGCTTCCTCGGCGCACGCCGGCCCCGAGGCCGGGGATCGTGTGCGCGTGGTGAGCGGGCCGGCGGCGCCACATCCCGCACGCTGTCTTTGCGACCGGCACTGGCAGAGAGGAGAGGGGGAGGGAGGGAGGAGAAAGAGGAGGAGGAGGAGGAGGAGGAGGAGGAGGAGGAGGAGGAGGAGAGGAGGAGGAGGAGGAGGAGGAGGAGGAGGAGGAGGAGGAGGAGGAGGAGGAGGAGGGTGGGAAGGGTGGAAGATTGGACGGAGGAGCGCTCGGGCAGGCGGGGGCGAGCGCGGGGCGCGGGAGCCGGCAAGTCTGGTCCACCACGTCGTACACCTCCGACCGCGCCCGCCGGCCACGCTCCAGAAGAACGGGCCGCGTCGCCATCACGGCCGCCGCCGCCGGCGCCGTCGTCATAGCCATCACCGTCAGCACGATCATGATCACAGTCGTCATCGTCGTCGCCGTCGCCATCGCCGTTGTTGCAACCATCATGGTCCTCATCACCATCACGATGCTCATCAATGTCGTCTGGATCGCCATCATGGTCGTCGTCGCATGTCTTGCCACCATCATCACCGTCATGGTCGTGATCACCATCGTCGCCATCGTCACCCCCGTCATCATCACCACCATCATCATTACCATCATCACCATCATAATCGTCATCATCACCACCAGCATCCTCTATACCATCGTCACAATCACCATCATCACCCGCAGCATCATCATCTTCCTCATCATCATCATCCTCATCATCATCAACACCATCATCAACATCATCATCACCATCGCCATCACAATCACCATCACAATCACCATCAAAACCACCATCATCACCATCATCGCCATCATCATCATCATCATCATCATCGTCATGAGCATAGCATCATCATCATCGCCATCACCGCTACCATCGCCGTCACCATCACTCTCAACGCCTTATATCATACGTCATCATCACCGTCACCGTCATCGCCATACAAAATTGGTCATCATTCGGCGTCTTCATCGTCATCAACACAATCATCACCATTATCGTCATCATCGCCACCATCGCCATCACCATAACCATCACCATCACCAGCATCAGCATCAGCAACACCATCATTATCAACATCATACATCGCCATCATCATCATCAGCAGCATCATCACCATCACCATCATCATCACCATCATCACCAAGACCATCATCACCATCGTACTCGTAATCCCATTCATAATCATTATCCCAGTGCGACCCGACCTAGGAGTTGGAACATCCAGGAAAGCAACATCTACATCTACACCGACAGCTACATTAACATCTACACCTGCATCTACATCTACATCAACATCAACAGCGGGACTCACGTCTACATCTACATCTACACCTACATCTACACGTCCATCTACATCTACATCGACACCTACACCTACATCTACATATACACTTTCGCATTGGTTTCGTTTTTGCTTTGCATTGCCTTGCCTTTGCTTTTGCTTTTGCTGTTGCTTTTGCTTTGAGTTTGTTTTTGCTTTTGCTTGACTCTGTTTTTGCTTTGCCTGCGCACAGACACACACACACGCGCATGTTTTCGCATTCGCTCACCGGGTGTGCTTGAGAATGCTCCGTATCGGGTCTACTACCGCACGACTTGGCCATCTGGGTCAGCGATGAGGCTGATCACGTACGTGCGTATGTATGTATGCATGTATGTACGTGTGCATGTATAGTTGTATAGATGTATAGGTGTATAGGTGTATATATGTACGCATGCGTGCGTGTATGTATGTATGCATGTCTGTATGCATGTAGATGTGTATGTATGTATGTATGTATATGTATGTATGTATGTGTATGTTATCAGCTCATTTTCCTCCGCGTCCGAGCGTCAATCCATGCATCGGCTAGTCCGTACCTACACAGAAGACTGCTCGGGCTGTGCAGCACGGGGACTGCGCAGCACGGGCTGTGCAGCATCGTGGAAAGAGACAGGCCTCCATGAGACGCACCAAGAGACACGGGTAGGCCTACAGCACCTGCACAGCACGGGTTGTGCAGCACCCAAGAGACACGGGTTGGTTACGGAAGGCACTGCTTGCGGGGGCTCCGGTCCGGCCATCGAGGCTAGCTCGGCATCTGTCGCACATTAATGTTTCTTTGCCTTTCCTTTGCTTAGCTTTTGCTTTTGCTTTGCTTTGCTTTGCGTTGCTTGTGCTTTGCTTTGCTGTCGCTGCTGTTGCTTTGCCTTTGCTTTGCTGCTATGCTATGCTATGCTCTGCTATGCTATGCTATGCTCTGCTCTGCTCTGCTATGCTATGCTATGCTGCGCTGTGCTATGCTGTGCTGTGCTGTGCTGTGCTATGCTATGCTATGCTATGCTATGCTGCGCTATGCTATGCTATGCTATGCTGGGCTATGCTATGATATGCTGTGCTGCGCTATGCTATGCTATGCTATGCTATGCTATGCTGGGCTATGCTGTGCTAAAGCTCAGCGATGCTAAGATGAAGGTAAGCTGAGCTAAGATAAACCTGAGCTAAGAAGAAGCTAAGCTAAGCTAAGATTAAATGAGCTAAGCTAAGATGAGATAAGCGACGCTAAGCTAAGGGGACGTAACTGGGGGAACCGCGGGGCGGATACTGGGGGAACCGCCCGGGGCGCTTTCCACTGCCCGGCCCCTTGAAGCCCAGAGAGTAAGAACCCTTCTACGCAGAGCCTAGGTAGGGAATAATCAGCATCATCATCATCATCATCATCATCATCATCATCATCATCATCATCATCATCATCCTCATCATCCTCATCATCCTCATCATCCTCATCATCCTCATCATCCTCATCATCATCATCATCATCATCATCATCATCATCATCATCATCATCATCATCATCCTCGTCATCATCATCATCATCATCATCATCATCATCATCATCGTCATCGTCATCATCATCATCATCATCATCATCATCATCATCATCATCATCATCATCATCATCATCATCATCATCATCATCATCATCATCATCGTCGTCGCCATCGCTCCCGTTTGGCAAGGATGTCTATGGGCAGTTCACGATCCCAAGCGCCAGGGCTAGTCGGGCCCCTCGAGAGGCAGCGGGGGCCTACGAATCATCGTGCCGACCCCCGGGCAGCGAGGCAAGACGAATCCAGGGGACCCTGGACCGGTCCACTAAGTCGGGATGTTCTCTTCAGGCATGGGCCCCCAGAGGTCTGCCCCCTTCCCCCTCGAGCGGCTGCTCCTCCCGAGTCGCTTTCTGACGGCCCCCGGGGGCCCAGTGAGGGCCCCCAGAGAGGCCGAAGACTGCCGAAGACCTCCCGCCGTGACGCTTTCGCGGCGAGGCGGAGGAGGAGGAGGAGGAGGAGGAGGAGGAGGAGGAGGAAGAGGAGGAGGAGGAGGAGGAGGAGGAGGAGGAGGAGGACGAGGTGGAGGAGGACGAGGTGGGGGTCAGACGCTGTGGCACGCTGCACCGCCACGGCCCAGGCTGGGCTTCGGAGGCGGCCGCCGGCCCGTGGACACGGCGGTCGGAGGGCGAGGCCACGACGACGATGCCGCCCTCCCCGCAGAGGAGCCGGGGCGTCTGGAGGCTCTCGTCGCCGGCGGAGGGGCACGGCCCGAGAAGCGTGGCAGTGGGCCCCGAGAGGGTCCAGAGACAGATCGTGAGCCAAGTTTGCTTGGTGGGGCATGGACTTACCTCTTCTTCTCCTCCTCCTCCTCTTCTTCGTCTTCGTCTTCGTCCTCGTCTTCGTCTTCTTCTTATGATTTTTATTATTATTAATAATATTATTTGTCCTTTTCCTCCTTCTCCTGCTCCTCCTCCTCCTTCTCCTCCTCCACCTCCGCCTCCGCCTCCGCCTCCTCCTCCGCCTCCTCCTCCGCCTCTCCTCCTCCTCCTCCTCTTCCTCCTCCTCCTCCTCCTCCCTCTCCACCTCCTCCTCCTCCTCCTCCTCCTCCTCCTCCTCCTCCTCCTCCTCCTCCTCCTCCTCCTCCTCCTCCTCTTCCTCCTCCTAGCCGTTCTGGCTCAGGCCGTTGGGGCTGAGCTTGCAAACGCGTACTTCAGAGCGGCTCGCGCTTGCGGGCCAATCTTTTCGACTTTCACGCGGCCAGTGTGGCCAGCCATCCGCGCGGGGGCTCCCGCCGTGGATGGCCCCCCTTGATGGTCAAGTTCTGCCAGGGCCGCGCACGCCTCACTGGGGCTGCTCGTGCGGCGTGGCCGACAACTGGGCGTCGAGGATCTCGTGCCGTCTGTGCGGTCGTCCTGCAGCGCAGAAGACCCTCCAGGCTGCACGCCAGGCTGCTGTCAAAGCGCGTGTGCCACAGCAGCCGCAGGGGCCCAAGCCTAAGCCGCTCGGCAAGTGGGCTCAGGGCCCCCCAGGGAATGCTAACGCGAAGATGCTCAGGCAGCTCCAGGACTTGCAGCAGCAGGTCGCCCAGCTCACTGGAGGAGGGACCCCGCCGCCGTCAGGAGGGGCGCCTCCATGGGCCACTGGAGGTGCTGGTGGAGGCAGAGGAGGCAGCAGCGGAGGTGGATCTGCGCAGCCTTCCACAGGACAAGATGCACCCGCCTACCTCAAGAAGCTTGGGGTTGACAACTCGGCCATTGCGGCAGTTGAGGAGGCGGAGAAGAAGGCTACGGAAGCAAAGAAGCGGGCGCCCACGGCACAGTCTGTGCGCTGGAAGGTCGAGAACCTCAAGTCCAAGGTCACGAAGATGGAGGCGCGGATCAATGAGATCGAGCGCCAGCGCGCAGCCTTGGAGGAGGAGCTCGCGACGGCCAAGACGAATCTCGACAAAGGACGTGAGGACCTTGTGCAGGCCCAGGAGCTGCTATGCAAGGCGCACGCCAACGAGTTCGACGACCCGCTCAAGGCCATGTCGGCTGGGCTCGACGCATCTGTCGTCGAATCGACCGAGGGCAAGGCCGCGCTGGAGAAGCTGCAGCAGCTGCAACAAGATGCTCAAGTGGCTGCTCGGGCCGCTGCTGCGTCTGCAGGTGCGGCTAGCGGTGCTCATCCACCTACTGCCGCCAGTGGAGAGCACATCTCCGCCGAGGATGGAGACAGCGACGACGTCGACATGGAGCTGCTTGGAGGCGAGGACTTCGAGGAGCGCACGCAGGCCTTCAACGAGGCCGCCGAGGAACTCAAGGCAGCCAAGGACAGACCTCAGGAGGCTCTGGACGCTGCCAAACGCAAGTACCTCGAGGCAGCTCTGGCCATCGGGGTCAAGCGTGCTAGGAAGAGTTCCTAACCCGAGCGCGGTCGTCGGCAGCAGGGTTGGCATGGCTAACCTAGAGAGGTTCCTCGGAAGCAACATGATCGACTACGA